AGCCAAGATCATGCCATTGCACTCCAGCCTGGGCAATAAGAGCAAAACTTCATTTCAAAAAAATAATAATAATAAGGAGTAGTATACATATACTACATTCATATATATATGCAATAGAATATTATACATCCCTGAAGAAAAGGATATAATTCTCTCATTTGTAGCAACATGGGTGGAACTGGAGGTCATTATGTTGTGGGAAATAATCCAGGCACAGAAAGACAAGTATTACATGTTTTCACTCATATTTGAGTGAGAGCTAAAAAAGTTGATATCATTAAAATAGATAGTAGATTGTTTATTACCAGAGACCAGAAAAGTTAGAAGGGAAAGAGAATGAAGAGAAGTTGATTGATGAATACAAATATATAGCTTAACATAAGAAAAAAGACTTAGTATTAAATAATTCAAAAGGTCTCTCTCTCTCTCTCTCTCTCTCACACACACACACACAGACACACACACACACACACACACACACACACACGTAAAATCCGAATGGTGAATTTTGTCAGGTCAGTTTCCTGGCTGGGATAGTGTACAATAGTTTTGCGACACGCTACCATTGGGATAATAATCAAAGAGTAAATGAAAGCACTGTTTCCCACAAGCGCATGTGAATTTATAATTTTTTCAAAATAAAATGTTTAATCATAAAAAAACTAGGATTTCCAATAGAAAACAATAAGATGGTATAATAAAAATATATCTGTAATTACATTAAAAGTAACTAGACTAACTTGATTTAATGACCAAGTTTGTTACTTTGTATTAAAAACAAAAAAGAAAAATCCAAATATATATATGTAATATATAGGTGTGTATATACACATATATATTTAATGCAGAAGGGACACATTTTATACAATAAGTCTAAGAAAGTTTTAACAAATAGGATGGAAAAATATACAAGTAGATATTAATAAACAGAAATCTGGTTCTTATTTATCCTAATACAGATAGAATAGACTTAAAGGCAAGAAACATTTCCAAAGGTATAGGACATGCCATAATTATCAAGCATCATACAAAAGAAATTTATAAAAATTCTAAATCTAATTGTATCTGACAACATAATTAAGTATATACAGCAAACACTGAGTCAACAAAATAGAGAAATACACAAATCTACCATCACAGTGGGACACTTTACCATGTTTCTCCAAAACTTAATATAATAATCAGAAAAAAAGATCATGAGTGATGCAGAGGATCAGAGCCTTTAATGAACACATATGACCTAGTTAAAATATGTACAACACAGCACTAAAAAAAAACATAGCAATACTCATCCTTTAAAAATGCATACAAAATATTTCCCAAAATAACTTATATGCTGAGTAAAATCAAGCCTCAACATATACCAAAGGATTGAAATCATTCAGCATGAAATTATACTAAATAGCAATAGCAAAAATAGGTAATTAGAAAATCTCAAAATATTTTGAAATTTTGTGGTGTACTTTTAAAAAGTCCATAGAACAAAGAAGTAATTATAACAAAAATATAAAACATCATTAAACGAATTTTTTAAAAACATGTAAATATCAATACTTGTGGATTTCTTATGCTGGCCAAGACCGAGTGGCCTCATTCTTCTCAGATGCTTCCTGATGCAGCTAAAAAACATCACACATAACATGACAAAAGTATTGGAAGCTGCTGCAAGGTGAACAATTAACCATGAATGCCCAGGGACGTCAAACTCAGGAATAAAAAAGTGTTAAGTGCCTTGAGTTTTCCTATTGCCTCTTGCATATCCTAGGCACGACCTTCTGAAGCCTCCAATCTGAACGGCAAACAGCAAGATTTTTTAAAATATAAAGACTCCAATGAAAGCCTGTTGCTCCTTTTTTTAAAGGACTGGAGAATGAGTACACTAAAAACAAAACAAAGCTCTTTGGCAATACCTGCCCTAATCCAGCCAAGTACCAATGGAAGCACTGTCTCCCTGTTCCTAAGGTTTTCAGCAGGGCTTAGCAGGAAAGTGGTCTTCTGTCCTACACCTAAAAGAAGCAAGCTCCAATTTCCCTGCCAGGGTAGTGTCAGTGGGGTGTCATGGACAGCTGAACCTTCATACTCACCTGCAGCAATTAGTCTAAATGGGCCTGTAGGAGATGGGACAAGTAAGTACTATGCCCTTCCATGCTGGCAAGTGTGGTCCATCAAGGAGCCGAGTCTCTGCCACCATCATCACCACGGTGGAATGAGGTGGTGGGACGTGGAGCTAGTTGCCCTCACCTATCCGTCCACTTCCTCCCTTGTATCAGTAGAGTTTCTTGTGAGGCTTAGCTTCTACCTCCATCCTGTAGCTACCAAGCAATATGAATGGTCCTGTCCATCTACCTTTCCAGGTGTCAGCAAGGTGCAGTAGGAAACTTAACATATACACCCACCCATCCTCACAACACAACACAACGAAGAGATTGCCTGCTAAAGTCAACAACAGCAATAACAAGAATAACAACAACAAAACCAGGTTAAATAGGAACCCGAGTCTCAACATTTAATATCCAAAACGTATAGGATGATTTTTTAAATTCCTTTGTCACATAAATATTCAGGAAAATCACAAGTTGAATGAGAAAAAAATTAATGATATTAACAATGATATAAATGAGATATTGAAATTATCTCACAAGGATTTTACACTAACCATCCTAAAAATGCTTCAACAAGCAATTACAAGTTTTCTTGAAACAAATAGGAATATTTTTTTTAAAAATTGCAAAAAATCAGTTATTTTTAAAAGGATAAACTAGAACTGAAAAATACATCAACAAAAAATAAAATGCTGAATAGGCTGAAGAGCAGAGTTAAAGGACGGGAAATAAAATTTAAAAATATAAATGCAGATCAATAAACTTTTCCCAATCTCTTTAATGGAAAGAAAACAGATTTTTTTTTTAAAGTTTCTCAGTGATGTGCAGGACAATAATAAAAGGTTTAATAATTGCATTATCAAAAATCCAGAGGGAGAGAATAGAAAGTGGGATTGACCAAATGTTTGAAGGAATAAAGGTCAAAATTTTCCTAATTTGGTGAAAGTCACAATCATACAGAGTTAAGAAGCAGAATAAAGCCCATTTTGGAGAAACTTAAGAAATGTGTGCCAACATAAATCGTAACTAGTCTTCTTAAACTGAAGAAAAAGAAAAAAAATTCTTTAAAACAGAAAGAACGTATTACTTAGACGGGACACCAATTTGAATGACAGTGGACATTAATACCTGACATATTTCAGGTACTGAAAAAATAGAACTGTCAACTCCAAAGTCTAGATCCCAGGAAATTCTCCTTAGGAATGGAAGTAAAATAAACATATTCTTAGATAACTGAAAACTGAAGGAATTACATGCTAGCAAATCTACCTTTAGAGAATGTCTAAAAAATTACCTAAGCATAAAGGAAACGATAAAAGAAGCTTTGAAATTCAGAAAGATCATTGATGGGTACACTTTGGGTTAAGTATAATGAATTACCCTTTCCATGAGTTTTTAAAATCTTATTTGATGGTTGAAGCAAAACTCATAATACCATCTGATACTGTTTGATGTATGTATAGGAAATTAAGGTAACTTCTTTACAAACAGGAAAGATAAAGGAGTCTTAATGGAAGCAACATTTCTATACTTCATCTGATGTAGTAAAAGGTTACCAGTAGATTGTGATACATTACCTACATATATTACAATACGAGCAGCCAGTCAGAAAACTATACAATGTGATATACTCAAAAATACTGTAAATAGGTCAAGAGGTAATTTTAAACTTGCAGGAGTAACTAAAACAATCTTTGATGGAAATGTGAAAATCTGACTACATGTATTAGGAAAAAAAGTCTTAAAATTAATTATCAAAAGAGGAGCTGGCAAACTACAGCCTATGGAACAAATCTAGCCTGCCATCTGTATTTGTAAATAAGTTTTATTGGAACAAAGGTGTGTTCGTTTATTTATATATTGTATACGGCTATTTTTGTACCACAAGAGCTTGAGTACTTTGTGACAGAGACATTAAAGCCTGCAAAGTATAAAATATTTACTATATAGCTCTTTACAGAAAAGTTTCCCAACCCCTGGAACTTTTTTCTCAAAAATCTGTAAGAACACAAAATCAAGCTGAACAATTTACGACATTGAAACAATCAGGGAAAAAGCAGGAACTCATAAAGTATATATATAAGTTAAGTGATTCAAGAAAGACCCAAATTAATCATTTTTTAAAAAGTAACCAAATGTACAACTCCTTAGCAAAACTGACCAAGATTAAAAAAAAAAAAAATTCAAGAATGAAAAGGAGGACACTACTATATCTTGCATTTATTAAAATAGACAATAATAGAATGTTAAAAGCTGAAAATAAATCATATAATTTAGACAAACTACGCTCCAGGCATGTGGTTTATGCCTGTAAACGCGGCACTTTGGGAGGCTGAGGCAGGCAGATCTCTTGAGCCCAGGAGTTCAAAACCAACCTAGGCAACATGGTGAAATGCCGTGTCTACAAAAAACAATAAAAAAAAAAAAAATCAGCTGGTCATGGGGGTGTGTCTGCAGTCCCAGATCTAGGGAGGCTGAAGCAGGAGGGTCACTTGAGCCCAGGAGATGGAGGTTGTAGTAAGCCAAGATCACCCCTCTGCACTCCAGCTTGGGCAATAGAGCTAGACCCCGTCTCAAAATAAATGAACAAACAAACAAATAAATAAATAACCTATGCAATATTCTTGAGAAGTAAACAACACAAAAGGAAAAATGAAACTTAATAAAAGTAGCTATTAAATACATTGAGTCCATTACAATAAGTGAATAGCAGAATGGGGGCTTTGATTTGTGTTTTTGTCATCAGAATAATAAGTGTTTAACTATGTTAGATTATTCTTTTGAAGCTCTTCTTTCTACTATCAAAACATACTAAAATCGTAAGGCATGTTGTGATAAGCTTGACTAAAGGTCTCTTTTTAAATAAACAAAATTCATAACTCCTTTTCACGGACTCACCGACTCAAATCTGTGCCGGGCACATACTGAGAGAAGCGAGAATGAAGTAGAGGGATCAGCCTGAGGTCGCACCACCGCTTCTCCCACCGCAAGCCTGGAGATGTCGGCCACGATGAGCATGACAATGTGTCCTAAAAAGAAGACAAATGTTCAACATGTTTTTTTTTTCTTCTGTGCTTTGAGTTTCTGTGTCTCAAACGCATTCATCTGGGAAATGTTGCTTTTACTCCAAGTGATCAAAAGACATTTATGGAATATCATGAGAATTCTGTATTATGGACAAGAAAACATACCGGTTAACTTATTTATTTATGGAATGCCGTAAGAAGTTGAGAAAGAAATCATTGAGATTAAGAATGCTAGTGAAAATTTATTTTAAAATGAGGAGTGGAGATGAAATAAGGATAAGAGTGTGACAACATAATTTATTCAAGAACAGAAAAAGTGGGAAAAACTAACTATAATTAACCAGTAAGTGACAAAAATAAAAATAAGCTGCAGTTCATTCAATTAGCAAGTGTTTTATGAATGCCAAACACAATTAAAAGTTTTTTTTTTAATTTATCAGTTTTTTGCATATATTTTTGATTAGAATGAGTATTCCTATAAAACAACTTTCAAAACACTACTCAAGGAAATCTGTGCTCATTTTTCTAACTTCATGTTCCTAAAAAGTTTATACTTATGTAGTTTTAATTGGGTATCAGGGCAACTATGGCTGGCTTAAAATTAAACATATCTTAAGTTTTGTTGGAAGTTTTTTTTTTTTTTTTTACTTTATATATAGAGGAGACATATTCGAATATAATTTGGGCTTTTTTACTTAATTCATGCTTCTTTCATTATTTCAGCTTTACTGTTAAAACTTTTCCCTGGCACCAGCACATCAAATAGTATTAATATTTAAATTGGCATGTGTTGTAAGTGCGTCAAAGCTCAATTTGCCCAGTGAACTGTTAACATCGCCGCCTCTTTGTTCACTAATTTTTGAGTGATAGTCTTAAAAGAACATTCTATATTAGTCTAGATATTTAGATACTAAAACTCTGCTAAGTCTAAATATTATTGAGCATTACACTCAGGTATTAATTTCTTTAACAATGCTTCCAGTGAAAAACAGTACTATGTTTACTAAACGGTGTATGTTGCCTGGCATTTTTATGTTAATTGTTGCAGATTGACCAAGTAAAAATGTATTAAGTCAGCGGAGAAGTTCAGAATACCTGGAAGGGTGGACTGGCTAAGATCACTTAGTGAGGGTTTCCTACTAGTGACTCAGTGAGCACCCAAACCCCCAGGTCACCTGTCCTTCAATGCTAGCCAGTTGCTTTTTATCCTTCTCTGGTGACTCCAAAGGCACAAACCTAGGTTTCATATCACTCTTTCTCCTGGCCTCATGTCAGCTGTTATGGATGATCAGGATGTGACAAGAGGTCAGATCTTCATGTCAGCTGTTATATGTACAGTCAGTTCATGACATGAAGTCAGTTCTTCATGTCAGCTATTGCAGGTGGTCAGCACATGACATGGGTCAGCTGGGTGACAGTACAAGGTGGGGAGGGCTTTAAGCTGCAAATCAGAATCAGACTGCTTAGATTTGAATCCCAATTTCCCAACTGACTAATTCATTGCCTGGAGGCAAGTTTTGTAGTCTCTGTCTTACTGTGTATATCTTCAAAGTGGTGATAATAATGGTAACAACTGGTAAGATCATAGTGACAAATAAGAAAGTTCTTAGAATATAGCCCAGCTAAATAACTCCATACTATTTTCAATATATCTAAAAGGCTAATGGTAATTTTACATTTACGAAAATAGACTGATTAGATGCATGGCTTGGTAGCCGTAAGTAAAAAGTATCAAATAATGTATTCTCAAAAAATAATAATATGCTCAAATAATGGGCAACATTTTTTCTAACACGGAATTTTTAGGGAGGACATTCTTAGGAGCATTACTGTTACTATTTATATATGAAATTTAAAAATACCTGCCTGCACTAAGTGCTTGATTTATACCCTTTGCAACATCTTTGAAATACAAAGCTATTACTATGTCCATATTTGAATGGAAAAACAGGTGTTTCAGTTTTAGTTTTTTTTTTTTTTGAGACAGGCTCTCCTCTATCATTTAGGAGTGCAGTGGCACCATCAAAGCTCAGTGCAACCCCCACCCTCAGGGCTCAAGTGATCCCCCTGCTTAGCCTCCCAAGTAGCTGGGACTACAGGTGCCTGCCACCATGCCCAGCTAATTTTTGTATTTGTAGTAGAGATGGGGTTTCACCATGTTGGCCAGGCTGGTCTTGAACTCCTAACCTCAGGCGATTCGCCTACCTCAGCCTCCCAAAGTGCTAGGATTACAGGCATAAGCCAAGAAGGTTTATTTAAGAAGCATTTTATTATATTTATTATTTTTCTTCATGCGGGAACATGAGGAAGCAATAATACTGCATGGAAGACTTGGATAAACAAACCAGGTTTCTGTGGCCAGGCCACAAATGGCCACAGGGATTGAAAGTGGCCCAAGACCCAGCCAGTTGCCCAAAGCAAGGTTGGCAATGACTGAAACTACCTCCCAGAAGCCCAGTGCACACACACTCCTAAGTTCTAAGCAAACAATTTGCCCAAGTCACCCAGCCAGCAAAGGGCACCCCCAGGATTCACTCAGACTGACACTTCTTTGATAGCAGAGCCAACAGATCTACTGCAACACATTTAACATTCAACACTGATAATCAGAGGTGAAACATTGGAAAAATAATTTGAATTTTTTTACTTGATGACTTCACACTTTGGTTATACAGCTTCAGGTATATTATTTAAAGATGCTGTCTCATCTTTCATAAAAGACAATAATTTCTCCCAAATTTTATGTTTCATCAATAAATGGGATAGAAAATGTCAAAGATTGTTAAAGACAGGGGTAATGAGATGTTGAGGACTGACTAATCACCAATACATGAGTATGGTAGGTTTTACAAAGCATATCAATACACTTCATAGATTGACAGGTATGGAAATATATGTGGCCTTTGACATTCTTTCTTGTGGCATCTTGACTTGATGCCTTTATCTACCAAAGGTATAACTATGTCACTTTCTTATGTTTCTTCTTTATAAGAAATATGTAATAAGTCCCACTTCAGTTATCTGACTCAACAGAGTTGATGTATTTCATATTATAGACCTGTTGTTTACAGTGAAACACAAGCGATCCTTTAAAGAATTTTTCTCCTTACTTAAAGGAGTATAAAATTATGTAAATTTATGTAAATAGAATATAAATTTACTTTCCAATCATTTTTTGGAATAATAGTCAGATTTATTTTATTTTATATTGCATAAAATATAAAATCGCTTTTGTGCTTTTGAGAAACATGACTACTTTTCAGGAGCCCTACTCTACAATGTCAAAAATATTGTTTCCTAAAATATTAATAATATGATTGGAAAAAGCAACATTTTTATGTCCTTGCACTTTTTCCAAAACTTTACACATGCCACATAATAACCTCAAGAATAACTGTCTTACCAAAACAGAACTGTACACAGGACAGACTGCCGACCTAGATTTTATTAAGGATTTGGTGGCATAAGGTGTAGTGAATAAAAGTGTACAGTCTGGTTGGCTGAGTATCTGAATCAGAGTCTTTTGGTAAGCACAAAACAAATCCTTCTACTCCATCTCTAGAGAGAAGAAAATCAGTGAATCTGGGCTGGGGCTTAGGAGGCAAGGTCTTGTATGGCAAAACAAGTGACTCTCCTTTACCTTAAAATTAGTGATGTCACACATCCTTAGAAGGACTATTTTATGTAGGATGATGGAATGTTGCTAATATAGTATAAGCCTTTATTTCCCCTCAAACTTAAAATACTGCCTTAAAATACAGTAAGGACATGTTAGAAAACTAGAAGAATACCTACTTACGCAAAATTTGCTTCAGATCAAGCTATAGATGTTGAAATGGGAGTTTGTAAGCCAGGGATAGATCTGAGAATTTACACACATAAGAGAATCAATCAAATGTTTCTTTTAAGCAGACTGTGTATGATGTGCACATATTCTGTGGAACAAAAACTTTCCTCACAATGCACTCTTCCTTCCAAATGTCCACTGTCTGTTGTTACTTCACGTCTTTGACCTCTCCTAATTTTGTATATCTCTGAGTAGAGACGTTCTCCACTCACCATTCTTCCAGCAAAGCTTATTCAAGTTACAGAAGGAACAGCACGGGCTAGCCCTGTCTGTGTGAGCCTGTATGGTCTGGGTACCATTGTGGGTTAGCGTTCCCATGTGGGCAACAAAGCACACAACGGTTTGTAGTCTCTCAACTTAGGTTGATTTCAGTTTAGTCAGATGTTCAAAGTCTCTACAGCTCTTTATCTCTGCTATTAGAATGCTGCTACTCATTCTTCTTTTTCTGCTTATGTTATAGTTAATTTTATAAATTTGTTTACAGATCTGGATCTTAAATTTTTTTGTGTGTTAAAATCATAATTAACTGCTGTCCAAAGTATAATAACTAGCAGTTTATTTCCACAGAGTAAGTTCTCAACAAAAATGCATTTAATTGATATGCATTGAGATTTTTGTCTTTATTTTGAATATACTTTATTTTGTTTTCATATGTTTTTATTATCTTCTATAGCATCATGATAAATACTTTTAATTTCCTTCCACTGAAATATCTTCAGCAATGTCTAAATAATGTTCAATCCTAATGCTAAAATGAGAATAAAATGTGCCTCTGGAAATGGGAAGATAAAGCTCTAGTAAGAAGAATGTATGACAGTTACTTTTTAAAAATTATATAAAACTGGATTTATTTAGGATCAGTCATATTATAGAATTAGAGTGGTTTTCTTGTTGTAATTATAGCTTTTTAAGGGAGGGCATTATTCTGTACATGTTTTTCTGTATGTCAATGGAATGGGTTAAAAACAAACCAGAATGATTTCTACTCTTAGACCTGCCACTCTGGTGCTTCTGCTGCTCATTATTATACAGAAGTTTGTGGGTATAAGGAAAGACCTAGAACAAAACAGTTCCTAACAGCTGTCTCCCACTCTGAAGGAATTTGCTCTTGTTTCTGTCTTAGGAGCAGAGTTGAGATGGAGATTCTTGTGTGAGAGACATGTGGAGGGGGCACTCTCAGGAGAAATCCCTGAGGACTGACAGAAGCAGGACACAGGACACGTGATACCTAACACTTGGTGAGCTCTAACTCCCAGGCAAAGGGGATCCAGACAAGAGGGATGAACTGTAAATGGGCATAGCCAACACCTCCAGCAACTGAGGGTGGAGCCATCAGAGTACTGAAGGAAAATGTGAGAGCACGGAAGTTATCGGAGGCATCTGGAATGGGAGGGAAGAAGGTGAACAAAGCAATTTCAAAAGCAAGAGGTAAAAATTTGGTTGGAGACTGTAAGAAGTCTGTAGAATTGAGAAGGGAGCCGATGAGAATATATATGCATATATATATATATATATGCATATATATAAAATATATGTATAAATTTTATATATATATATACATATATTTTTTATTTATATATTATATATATATAAATTTTTATTTATATAAATATATATTTAGGTTACATTTTTAAATATTATTTTTTTCATTGGGAAAACTGTATATTTCCTCATGAATTTTAAGTCTCTCCAATCATGCTGTATTGTGGTTTTAAATAACATTTATTATGTGGCAATTATTTCTCTGGCAAAAAAAAAAAAGTTTAAAAGATGGCTAAATGAAATATGTCCAGCTGAGGTTGATTTTAGAGAATGTCCTTACATTTGGACAGATAACCTTTGGTCTTGGCAAATTTCCTTTTATCATGGAAAAAAGTCGACAACTTGATGGCCTAAGGTACTCAGCTGAGGAGTAATACCGGGGCAATCAGGTACAATGAAGGTCATTCAGGGCTGAAGATGTGTCAAAGGATTGCTTTGAACTAAAATGCCACTATTTGGACAAAAATGTCAAATGCAGGATGAATCATATGAGTCGGGAGAAGAAGCTACATGATGTATGTACCATAATATGTGGAATTGAACAATAAAATTCTGCTTAAGGTCAGTTCTGCTTCTCTTCTTGTTTGTGAGCATGAAAGATAATTGTTAGATCTGCCTATAACCAGGGAAAATTATTTCTTTAAGAATGTGTGAGTGTTTTGAAGAATGAAAAACAAGGAACTTCAAACATGTTTATAAGATATTAAAATCAATTTACTCAAAATCCAAGTAGGAAATAAAAATTAAAATTTTATTAAATGCCTACAAAACAAAGATTAATTCTATCTTTTGTTAAATACATGTATAATTAAATGTTCATTACATGTTAAAATAATGTGTGAATCAGATTTTCTCGCTTTGCAGAAATTATTTAGTGTGCATAAAGTTGACTAAAAAATTCTAACAAGTGGCAAATTAAATAGTTACTTTTAGTTAAGTAATTTCAAAAGAAAGCGATTAAACCAATGTCAAAGCATTTTGAACCTAAAATCACATATAATGTGCAGTGTCCTAAAAAGATTGTATGATATTATACATCCCCAGCGACATCCACAAGTTAATTATATCTATTGCTTAAAAAAAAACTTAATCCACACAGACTTGAGAGGGAAAAAATGTGGCACAAAAAAACAGACCTATTTATTTTTCATGTCTTGCTTATAATAGTACTTAAATGATGATGCAATCAGGGATTTCCTATCTATCAGATAAATCAGATCCAACAGCAGTTTTTAGAAACTGTATGATATCTCCTTATTAATCTGAGCTATGCCTGGGTCATCTTACTGTATTGTTGGGATGATAGTTGAGATGTAAGCCGCTGTCACAGAGAGGAGAGGAGGTGCCACTGCTCTGATCACTTGGAGCACCTGGAGGAGACAAAATCATAACACCCCACTGGTGAGAATGCTGTACCCTTCTAAACCGATGCCTTCCATTAAAATTTCAAGGTTACTCAATAATATCCAGTAAATCAGATACTACAATAAAATTTTATTTCACTTATACTAAAGCCAGAGTTTTGCAAGTAAGCCAAGTGACTACAGGTATCTGTATACTAAAAAAGACTTACAAAAATTTGCTTTTGATTTCAGAAACATTAAGGCTTTATTAAGGAAAATGTACAGCCTTATAAAAGTATTATTTTGTTTAATTATCTAAAGTGGCCTGCTTTTAGAAACCATACTTAGAATAATGTAAGATTTTGGTTATCTACAAAGTTCTATTTAATGTCATATTTCAACTAACTGGTAAATCCTATCCTTAGAAACTATACTTTTCCCAATGCAAAAATGTTTGCATGTTCTCTGTTTTTATAGGTGCTCTTAGTTTGTATTCAAGTATTCATTAAAATTATCCAACCTTGTGTAATTGCAATTAAAAAACTTCCTAATATATGTATACATTAAAAACGAATATATATATATATATATATTTTGAGATAGAGTCTTTCTCTGTCGCCAGGCTTGAGTGCAATGGCGCAATCTTGGCTCACTGTAACCTCCTCTTCCTGGGTTCAAGGAATTCTCCTGCCTCAGCCTCCTGAGTAGCTGGAATTACAGGCGCAGGCCATCACGCCCAGGATAGTCTTGATCTCTTGACATCGTGATCCACCTGCCTCGGTCTCCCAAAGTGCTGGGATTACTGGCGTGAGCCACAGTGCCCAACCTTACTGTTTGTTTTTTAAAGATGAGTAATGTCTTAAAGATTTGCCATTTTCTAAGATTTCCCAATTTAGCAACTTATTAGAGTTAGAATTAGTATACATAGTTCCTGACTTTTGATTACTTGGCATTTCTAAAGACACTATTAAAAGTTACTAATGTTTATAAATATTATCTGTAAACATAATTGACTCTCAATTAATATTTGAAATATTATACTTGAATTCAAACAGCATAGGTCATAGGGAACACAACTTACATAATAGTAAATATGCTAAAAAATGATTTTATTCTTATTTTTTGTTACTCTAAAATTCTGTAATTTTCCTGAAACTAAGAAAGGGAACACAGGCTTTCTTGCTATACTGATCTGGATATAATTTGTCTAATCTTTAAACTGTAAGAAACACCACACTATGTTTTAATTATTTTTCTTGTGAAGTTTATTTGCATTTTTGTCTTCTAAAACAACATTTTAATGTATATACGTATTACTTTAAAGCATATACATTTTGAACTGAACAAAATAAAATACAACATATCAAACTCTGTGAATGAATCTTAAGTAGTCATTTGAATGAAATTTAAATATTTACATACATACACAAAAAGAAGGTAGGTGTAAACTCAATGATCTCAACAACTTAAGAATGAAGGAACAAATTAAACCAAAGCAAAATAAAATAAAATAAAATAAAATAAAAAAACTGGAAAAAAATAAAATAGAACAGAGAAAATAATAAAGAAAATTTACTAAGATAAATATCAGATCTTATGAAAAACAAATAAATTAAATAAACATAGCAAAAAATAATAATAATTTAGAAAAAAAGAGAAAGAAAACACAAGTTACCGATATAATGAATGAAGGAGGGGTAATTACTGAGAGCTAACTGATGTTAAAAGGAATAATGAAAGGACATGATAAATAACTTCATGAAAGAAATTGACAACTTAAAGTGAACAAACACATTTTTTAAAAACCTAACCAAAACTTACAAAAGAAGGAAGAGACTATTAAAAGGGTCTTATAGTCATTCAAAGGATTAATTCAGACAAAAGAAAAATTATAATTCTAGGAAGATGTTCAATAATTTAAAAAGGAGACACTATCACTCTTAAGCTGATTCTTTCTGAAAATACGGAAGTTACAACTCTCCAACTCCTATAAAGACATAATAAACTTGATATCAAAACCCCACTAAACATCAGAAGAAAAGTGCAAGTGATGTCCCTTATGGATATATACAAGAAAAAAATATGTAAACAGTATATTAGCAAACCGAACCTAGTAATATATGAAAAATATGTCACGTCATGACCACATAAGTGGTATTTATTCTAGAAAAGCAAGCTTGGTTTTACATCCAAAATCCATTTTTAAACATTTACCATATCAACAGGCTAAAGAACAAAAGCATAAACATAATATTTCAACGTATGTAGAAAAATATTTCAGACAATTCACCATCAACTTTTGTTTTTTTTTAAAAAAGGAAATTAAAAACTTTAGAATTCTAGGAATAGATGTGCTCCTCCACCTGATAAAGAACATCTTTAAATACTTATATCCAATATCCTAATTAATGACAAAAAACTGAATTATTCCCCCCTAGTATCAGTAGAAAGAAAGAGGTGTCTACTCTTAACATGTTGTTCAAAATAAAATGGAGGTCTTAACCACTGCAACAGGCAAGTCAAAAGAATTTTAAAAACGTAGACTGGAAAGGAGTAAGCAAACCTTATTTGCAGATAACAATTGTATATGTATAGAACCTTTAGGGATGCACAAAAGTCCTTCTAGAACTAAAAATAAAATTATGCTATGTTGCAGTATGTTGATATATAAAATTAAATTGTATTTTATGTTCTGGCCATAAACAACTGCATAATGAAATTCTAAAATATCACAATAAAATTAAAACCTAAAATGCATATAAATACATTTAATGAAATATATACAATAATTCCAAACTAAAAACACTAATATAGTGCTGAGAAAAAAATAAATAAATAAATGACTAAGACTTAAGGGTTTTATCTCCAAATTGTTTATAAATTTAACTTAGTTCCACTCAAAATTCCACTACACTTTTTATACAAATTGGCATGCTATTTCTAAAATATGTGCAGCAATTCAATAGATCTAGAATAGCCAAACAATCTTCAATAATTGCAAAGTCTGTCTGGACATGGTAGGTCATGCCTGTAATCCCATCACTTTGGGAAGCCAAGGTAAGCAGATCACCTGAGGTCGGGAGTTCAAGACTAGACTGACCAACATGGAGAAATCCTCTCTCTACTAAAAATACAAAAATTAGCTGGGCATGGTAGTGCATGACTGTAATCCCAGCTACTTGGGACACTGATGCAGGAGGATAGTTTGAACCTGGGAGGCAGAGATTGTGGTGAGCCAAGATTGTGCCATTGCACTCCAGCCTGTGGGCAACAAGAGCAAAACTGGTCTCAAAAAAAAAAAAAAAAAAAAAATTTGCAAAGTTGAAGAACCTATTTATTCTAGGTCACTTTAGGATATGTTACAATAATAAACAATGTGATTTTCATTTATAAAAATAGACATGTACATTAGTAGAAATAACAAAGTATCCCAAAATAGATCCAAACATGTATGATCAAATAATTACTATATATTTATATATATCAAATACATATATACACACACACATATAATTGATTCTTAACTAAGATGCACAAAATTATAAAATATATTATAAACTTAAACATAAAAGCTAAAGCAACAAAGCTTCTAGAGGAAAACAAGAAAAAATATTTTTGCAACCTTGGGGTAGGGAAGTATGTCTTAGAGAGGTTACAAAAACAGTAAAAGAAAATAAAGTATCTACTAACAAAGACAACCTCAAGTGAAAAATGTAGTTATGCAGACAAAGAGAAATTTTTATAACTTATATCACTGGCAAAAGGCTTATATAGAGAATATTTTTTAAAAGTTATGCACTATAATAGTTAAAAGAGCAAGCTGGGCAAAGAGGAGGTTATGACTTCTGCTGCAGCAGACTTAAACATAGCTGCCCAGCAGCTCTGAATCGATCAACGGAGCTCCCAGCAAAGCACTTGAGCACTGATAAGGGACAGACTGTGTCCTCAAGTGGCTCCCAGACCACAATATATCCAAAGAGGAACCTCATAAAGGAGAGATCTGGATGACATCAGGCAGGTACTCTTCCGGGACGAAGATAACAGAAGAAGAAAGTGGCAGCAACCCTTACTGTTCTGCAGCCCTCTCAGGTGACTCCCAGACAAGCAGGGTCTGGAGTGGATCTCCAGCAGTCCTGCAGCAGAGGGGCCTGTTAGAAGGAAAACTAAAAAACAGAAAGAAATAGCTTCAACATCAACATCAACGAAAAGGACATCCACTCAAAGACCCCATCTGAAAGTCACCAACTTCAAAGGCCATAGGTAGATAAATCCACAAAGATGGAAAGAAACCAGTGCAAAAAGTGTGAAAACATCAAGAACCAGAATGCCTCTCCTCCTCTAAGGGATCACAACTCCTCACCAGCAAGGAAAGAAAGCTGGATGGAGAATGAATGTGATGAATTGACAGAGGCAGGCTTCAGAAGGTGGGTAATAACAAACTTCTCTGAGATAAAAGAACATGTTCCAACGCTATGCAAAGAAACTAAGAACCTTGAAAAAAGGTTACATGAAATGCTAACTAGAATAACTACCTTAGAGAAGAACATAAACGACTTGTTGGAGCTGAAAAACACAGCACAAGAACTTCGTGAAGCATACACAAGTTTTAATAGTCAAATCAACCAAGCAGAAGAAAGGATATCAGAGAGTGAAGATCAACTCAATAAAATAAAATGAGAAGGCAAGATTAGAGAAAAAAAGTGAAAAGAAATGAACAAAGCCTCTGAGAAATATGGGATTATGTGAAAAGACCTCATCTACATTTGATAAGTGTACCTGAATGTGATGGATAGCATGAATCTAAGCTGGAAAATGCTCTTCAGGATATTATCCAGGAGAACATCCACAACCTAGCAAGGCAAGTCACCATTCAAGTCCAGGAAATACAGAGAACACCACAAAGATATTCCTCAAGAAGAGAAACCCCAAGGCACATGATCGTTAGATTCACCAGGATTGAAATGAAGGAAAAGACGCTAAGCACAGCCAGAGAGAAATGTTGGGTTACCCACAAAGGGAAGCCCATC